TACGTAATTACATTAAATAAGAGTTTGTATTTACGAAGTACGCAGCTGTTTTCAAACGCAGGGATCATCACAATTTCTTGAATCTACGGACAATAACGAGGACGCCCACTTCTTGAGATGAATAGACAAACATGCGCTCATGATTTCAAAGAGAGAAAAAAACTGCTTCTTCTTGCATTCACTCTCTCTGTTGTAAGCAAGGGCTGTGGCATGTTGAATATTATAATTCACCACTTGATTTCTTACCTCAGGAAACTCTGTGAATACTAAATTCCGTCACGTGATTTGTGAGGTAGCATGTTTTGTGCTAACTAGGACACTGTATTCGAACACGTTGAATTGTTAGGCATCGATTCAAAATATTCTTACCTGACATGGACTTGCGCATATTAATTTCGTTTTGAAACCTTTGTTAATAGTGTACTTAATTGTGTCATAAGAATAAAGGGGGAGATGGGAAAGAGTAATCTCGTATTTTTATGCCTCCGTAATCGAAGATTCGGGGGCATATAGTTTTTGCCCTATCCGCCCTTCTGTCTGTCTGTCTGTCTATCTGTCTGTCTGTTTGTCCGCAAAAAACTTTAACCTTGCCCATAACTTTTGATTGGTTGGAGCTATGGCTTTCATATTTCACAAGTGTATTCCTTGTGACAAGACCTTTCTTTGGGTATCATCATTTTTGACCTTGACCTTGGAGTTTGTCCCACTTTTGCAAAATTTTATGAGACTTTAACCTTGGCCATAACTTTTGAACACTTGGATCAAACTTCACAAGTGTATTTCTTGTAAGAAGGCCTTCCTTTGGATATCAACATCTTTGACCCTTTTACCTTTTGCCCTTTTACCTTGACCTTGGAGTTTGATCTACTGTTGAAAAAACTTTAACCTTGGCTATAACTTTTGAACAGTTTGAGCTAGGTCTTTCATACTTTGCATGTGTACACCTTGTGACAAGACCTTTCTTTGCATATCAACAACTTTGACCTTTTGACTTTGACCTTGGAGTTTGCCCCTTCTTCAATTTTGAGAAATTTTAACCTTGGCTATAACTTTTGAACAGTTAGTGCTAGGGTTTTCATTCTTCACATATGCATTTCTTGTGAGAAGACCTTCCTATATATACCACCAACTTTGACTCTTTGACCTTGACCTTGGAGTTTGACCTACTTTTAAAAAACTTAACCTTGGCCATAACTTTTGAACAGTTGGTGTTAGGGCTTTCATACTTCACATGTCTATTCCTTGTGACAAGACCTTCCTTTTCATACCAACAATTTTTGGCATTGACCTTGACCTTTAAAATACTTTTAAAAATCTTTAAAATTGGCCATAACATTTGAACGTTCGGCTCTAGGGCTTTCACATTTCACGATCATGTGTATCACTTGTGACAAGAACTCCCTTGGGCACCATTTGACCTTGACCTTGCCGTTATACTTAGTTTTAAAAACTTTAACCTTCGATATAACGTTTTAACGGTTTTTACTAGGGCTTTCATATTTCACAGGTATTTTCCTCGAGACAAGACCTTTCTTTGAGTACCAACATTTTTTTTTATTTCTTGACCTGGAGTTTGACTTGCATTTATGAAACTTTAACCTTCGCCATAAGCTGCCATACGGGGGCATCAGTGTTTCACCAACACATCTTGTTATACATGTCATTGTTATTTATCAAGTCTAATTTTAGAGCCATTCTTACAATGTTAGCTCCACATCTCATGCATACCTAATGTTTAACCAAGGGCAGGAAAGTATTAATTCTCTATATTTGGAAAGCAGCAAGGACAAAAAACATAGATTTTTTTTTTTTATTGTATCACAGTCTAAAATCATTTTAACATTTAAATTTTGGTGCCAAATTGACAGAATTCTTTAGTAAATATACAGAAGTGAAATAAGGTTAAGATATAAAAGCAACAGAAGCGACGGAAAAAAGACCCAAAACCCATCGTTAAGTGCAGTTATTCATAACAACTTAAGTACAATTTTAGAATGCAGCAGAAGGTGGAGCCACACATATATATTCCACACTTTATTATAACAACTAACAAACAAAAATATACTTCTACAAATTAGAGTACCTCAAGACTTGAATTAAATGCAAAAATCTTTAGAAACCACAGTTGTACACTGTATAATTTATCCTGAACTACGACAAATGTGCAGCATAAAATTCTTCTTAAGATTTAACCAAACGAAATGATTGCTACAGAAATATCGATATCTAGATGACACCAATGTGTTTGAGGAAATGCTGATGCCGCTTGGTTATATAAATATCTGAAATTAAGCCCCGCATCCTCTGACCCCGAAGGACACGTACAAAAATGTAAGTATGGATGATACAGACAATCTTTAAAGGACATTGAATCGTGCAATCAAAAATCTTAAACAAATTTTTTACGGTACTGCTCCGTAGAACCGAAGGTCCTACTCTGAACCCTTTTTTCGATTTTTATTTTAGCTCTATGTGTACACATAGAGCTAAAATAAAAATCGGAAAAAAATAGGGGTCAGAGTAGGACCTTCGGTTTTACCAAGCATTTACGAAGAACATAAGTCACCTTTTCAGAATTTTTCCTATAATATTTTCTTACCCAAGCGAACCGTGCACCAAATACAGTCATTCTTTGTAAAACAAATACATGTACATTGAAAACTGTTATAAAAAACAGTTCGAAACAAAAAATGTCTGACTTTTTATCTCATAAAATTTAGAAATTTAGCAACCAATAATTTGTGGCATGTCAAACGTTGCAATATTCGATCTTTTCCATTTATATTATAAAATTTCCCATTTATATTCTATAATTTTCTATTTGCATTGTATAATTTTCAATTTGTATTGTATAATGTTTATTTGTATTCTATGATTTTCATTTGTATTCTATAATTTTTATTTGTATTCTATAATTTTTCATTTGTATTGTATAATGTTTATTTGCATTATATAATTTTTCATTTGTGTTGTATATTTTTTCATATGTATTGTATAATAATTTTCAATTAGTTTTGAATAATTTTTATTTGTATTGTATAATTTTAAATTTGCATTCTATGGTTTTCTTTTGTATTCTATAATATTCCATTTGTATTCTTTAATTTTCCATTTGTATTCTATAAATTTACATTTGTATTGTATAATTTTATAATACAAATGGAAAAGTATACAATACAAAAGGAAAATTATACAGTACAAATGAGAAATTATACAATACAAATGAAAAATTATGCAATACAAATTTAAAATTATACAATACAAATGGAAAAGAATAGAATACAAATAAAAATGATACAATACATATAAAAAAAAATATACAATACAAATGGAAAACTATACAATACAAATGGAAAATTATAGAATACAAATTAAATTATACAATACAAATAAAAAAAATTATACAATACAAATAAAAATTATACAATACAAATGGAGAATTATAGAATACAATTAAAAAAATTACAATACAAATGAAAAATTATAGAATACAAATGAAAAATTATAGAAATTATAGAATAAAAATGGAAAATTTTACAATACAAATGGAAAATTATACAATACAAATGGAAAATTATACAATGCAAATGAAAAAGATCGAATATTTCAACGTTTGACATGCATAGTGTCACATAGGGCCTTCTTCTTTTTTTACAGTAATTAAAAATATGTAACGATGTTGAGGAATTTGTACATTTAGAATTGATGCAATCTAAAACTCAATTATTTTGGTACTTTTTTTAATTTAAATACCAAGATGGTTATAAATGGAACGATATTGAAAAAAAAACAAGTTTCAAGTTGACAAACACCCCCCCCCCCCCAGCACACGACGTATGTATTATACGAATTATGAATTATTCTTCTTGTTATTATGAATTATGTACTTTTTTTATGCCCCCTTAATTTAAGATTCGGGGGCATATAGTTTTTGCCCTGTCCGTTGACTTGCATTTGAGAAAGTTTAACCTTTGTTAAGAGTTGCCATACTGGGGCATCAGTGTTTCACAAACACATCTTTTTTTTTTTTTTTTTTTTTTTTTGCTCGATCTACTATGGAATTCCATGCCCATTTTCTATACAATGCACCAAGATTTTCCCTTGTATTTCACAGAGAAGTTATCCTTTAAACAAAATGTGTGTGTGGTTTTTTTTTTATTTGTTTGTTTGTTTTGTTTGTTTTTTAATAAAGTAAACTACTTTTACTCTGAATATAGAAAATTGATTTTTAAAATCAATAATTAATCCTGATATTGTAGATAATATATTAATTTTATACAAAAATCAAGATCACATATCAATCAACTGTTCATTATTCAAATAATGTACACTGTATCAGAAACTTGATCAGAAACGTTTGGTATGTAATCTCTCTCTCTCTCTCTCTCTGAAAAAATATCAAGTTCTTGACTAGCTAACGTTCAGTCATTACTATCACCTACTAAAACAATACATAATCATACCTATCGTATTAACAGGGTGTCTGTCCCCGTCCCCACTTTTTTATATCCCTTTTACTGTTTATTATGGAAATTTTCATTGAAAAATCCGTTCCACCCCCCCCCCCCCCCCGTCCCCAGTCCTTTTGTGTTGCAAAATGGTCATTCTATTCATATTTTATGTCGTTAAAAAGGAGTGGGACATCACCCCTCCCCAAACACCACCTAACACAGAAGAGTTGGGGTGGTTTATAAGTTCAATGTTCTTTTAATTTATTTATTTATTTATTTATTATTTTTGTGTATTGAAGTTTTTACAGGCATCTTCCCCATTTTGAAAAAGACAACTATTTGTCTCAATGGCTGTTAGTGTTGAATTTTCCCAGTTATGACAGTAAAATAAATATAATAAAGATATTTTGGAGAAAAAACTGCTATGCAACAATCCACGAAGTTTCTAACTCACGGAAACTGAAGGAATCGTGAAGTTTCCCATTAGTTCCGATGAAAACGGAAATATTTTGTCTGTTTAGAATATTCTGTTTCCTACATTTTGATCACGTGCCCCAACCAAAATGGCGCTGTGCTGTGCTAGTAAGTGTTTGAAAAAGAAGCCGTTGTATTCGCCCACATTATGTCTTATCCCTAGTCTTTGACGTTTGATTTGTGTTGAAATTACTTTAAGTTTTATATATTAAAATGGTAAAGCAGTATTGTTAAATGCTTTTATACGAATCGTGATGACAAAATACCGGTGTAGTAAAGACGGGACAGCGTGGTTTTGTTTGTAAACTATATCAGTAATATACATTATTAATCAAAGGGAAAATGACGTGTTAAGCTTTAAATATATATTTTTTTAATACTCTATGATGCCTATTAGTTTATAAAGTAAAGCTATGTATTTTGTACGTGATTGTTGAGCATCATATTGCATTGATTTATTTGCTTGGAACTTCTTTGTATTGCATTATTTAAATCTTTTTAATAGTCAGTAATGATGTTCCTGAGCAACCTGTTATATCACCAGTATCTGGACACATCTATGAGCGACGACTCATTGAAAAATACATAAAAGAAAATGGCTCTGATCCAATGAATGGGGAGAAGCTGGGAATAGAAATGCTTGTTGAAGTCAAAGGTTTGTGATTTTACAAAAATGATAACCATTAAATCACTAGATCTGTAAAATTTCTTATAGATGACAATTTCATAGGTATAGAATATAAGCGGTAGGAAAAATAAGTGTTTCTTTCCTAACATCAATTATTTTCATTTTAGCATCACCTCTGGTGAAGCCCAGACCACCCTCTGCCACAAGTATACCTGCTATACTCAAAGCACTGCAGGATGAATGGGTATATCTTAATTATTTATAGTGTTACTATTTGTAGACTGGTATTATTTTTAAAAATTGTTTCAAGAATCAAATGTCTGCATTTCATCAATTTTTAGGATGCTGTAATGTTACACAGTTTTACACTGCGACAACAGCTACAGACAGCCAGACAAGGTAATCCTGACAATTACAAAGATAAAGTTCTGTATTGTTCAATAATGCATGGAGTATTGCATCAATGAAAATCAAAATGAACCTGATGCAAGTACCAACCTAGGGGGCGACTGGGGCAAAATAGTCGCTTTTGAGCTCCAAACTTCGCCGTAATTTATCACGAAAGAGAAGTTTAAGTCGCTTTAACATTTGCAACCCCTTTATTGAAAATCATAAAAAATCTATTAAGAAACATGGTAGTATCGTCACTTTTTCATAAATCTGGTTTTATTACTGCTGATATAAGTGAAACAGCAGGGCACTTGCACCTGTTTTGCTACTAATGACCAATGCATCGAATACTCTGTCGGAACTCCTCTAGATTTTACGCTTCCGTGTATGAAAAAGTCCATTCTTAAAAGTTATACACAGCAAGACGCAAAACCGCTGGACAGCTATCTGTGTCATGCCAAAGATGTTGGAGATGATTTTAGATCTTTTTATTGTCAAATAATTAAAACATGCTGTGGAATACAGACATATTTTTACTGTTATGTTGAGGAGTTACATGTATTAACTGTCTCAGAAATTACACACGTCTGATAAACATAAGTAGTTCAAACGGCATGTACTGTTTCAAAACTTTTTTAGAAAAAGAATTTAACATTGAAAACGAATTTTGAAGAGAAAATAACAAAATTATGACTATGCCAAGAGCCTGAAAATCTAACCCTGAGAGGAGAGAAAAACGTGTGAATCATATAAAAGTTAATTGTGCATACTACGCAGGAAATGAAAAAAAGTTTGATAAACAAGTTTATCAATTAGAAACTTTTACATTGTCATTGTTTTATATATTTTGCTAGATATTTATATACCTTGTAATTATAATTTTTTTTAAAGAATCTTTTTTCTCTTTTTTAATTATTTTTACTAGGATGTTTAAATAATACAGAAGAAATTAATGAAATGTATTTAAGTGATAAATAATGAAATGTTTTTATTTTTAAAAAGTTTAATAATGATCAATGTGCGCCACGTGCACCAAGAAGTCTCCCTGGAATTCAAAACTTCTCCCTACATTTCTCTGAGGGAGAAGTGAAGTCTCCCTAAATTTTGGGTCTAGGTTGGTCCCTGCTGATGAATAGTTTTTTTTCCATTAATCATAGCTTTTTTTTTTCAATGTGTGGTTCAGTACCTGACTTTTCTAGGATTATATAAACCAGCAATTTATTTTCTTGAAATGTAAAACTTAAGAACTGCACCAAGCAGTTTTGAATTTCACAATTTTCAATAAACACAGTTACTTGTATGAGAATGATTTGCCAAAGGAAATTCGAACTTTCTTCCTTATGAAAATACTATTTTGACAACCTTGATATATATTTTTACATCACATTTAAGAATATTTCACAATATGATATGACTTTTTCGAATAGAATTGTCCCATGCACTTTATCAGCATGATGCTGCTTGTCGTGTGATTGCTCGTCTCACCAAAGAAGTCACAGCTGCCAGAGAAGGTAAGAGTTTACTATAAAAAGACAATTTTATTTTTGTATGCCATAGGGAATATAAATCATAGACAAAAGTTTATAAAAATTAGAAAAATGGAACTTTGATGAGCACAGGGTTCGACACTAACTTTTTAAGGCTTTAGTCCAGCCGGACTAGTGCTTCATTACTTTTACTAGTCTGCACGCGATTTTATTAGTCCGTCAAAAAAAAAGAAACATCAAATTGATGTTTTTTAACATTAATTTAACGTGACAATTAAAATACGTATTATTTTTTGAAATAAACAAAGTATTTACGTGAAATATATTATTCCACAGATTCATTGAAATCTCGCAATCAGCAAGTGCGATCGTATTCCCGATTTTTTTTTTTTTTTTTTTTGTCTTTACATTACATCCAAAACGTCCAACATCTTTCTTAAAAGTGTCATACTAAATCATGATCGCTAATACCTTATACTTCGATCAGTAGAAAAATTAAGCGCTGAACTGACCCGGCATTGCATAACTACCCGCCAAAAGCTGGAAATCTAAAAATACCCGCGGGGTTTTCCAGTAAAAGTTGTCGAGAATCGGACATCGGTAATTTATTCATATTGTTTTTCAGAATTTTTTATTGGTCCGTTCGGACTAATTAGCCACATATTTTATTAGTCCGAATGGAAATGTATTAGTCTGAGACTAACGGACTAACGTTAGTGTCGAACCCTGTGAGCAAATATATTTTCTACACTGTGAAGTGGAATTCCACTTTCAGGATATTTCATTTCTTAATTTTTTTTTAATACCACTTTAAAAATATACTGTTCAGGGGTGTGCAATTAGCATCGCCCGACGCCCGGGGCTACCATTTTTTTGGGTTGGGCTAGTAGTTTTCTGCACAGAGGTAGCCCCTTGGGCTAGTAAAAATTAAAACTACCAATGTTATATATGAAAATTACTATCAGTTTTTTCACTCACTATTTGCTATTAAATTCTCAAAAAATGAAAAAAATTTCGGCAGCATGTTCCTACTGTTCGTTAATCTCCATAATCTTATCCATTTTGCAGTGCTACCTGACTTATTTACTTCCAAAAACGATCGTTTTTATCTAATCCGAATTTCCTCTATTCCTCTGCTTTTGGTAAATACACATGCAGATATCTCATTAAATTATTTACGATAACTCAATCAACTGAAAGATAAGCGTTATGTGGTTTACATAAAATATATTTCCAGCGTATTTAATGATTAATTAAATAATCATTAAATAATTAATTAAGATGAGAAAATTATTTTCATTTCATTGTAGATAAGATAATTTATTTGAATTCATTTTTATTTTCTATCATAATTATTAATTTATACATGATTTAATTTTACTGGTGAGAATTAAACTTTAATTTTAAAAAGAATTAATGACACTAAAACTCTGACTTTTTCAACAATAAACAGTTTTCTGTCCCCCTCCCCCCCTTAAATTTGGGCTAGTAACTTTTTACTTGGGGCTAGTAACTTTATTGCTACCACTAGCCCGTGGGCTAGTACTTAATTTTTTTAATTGCACACCCCTGTACTGTTTTTAAAAATTCTTTATTGTTTTGTTTTAATTTTTTTATTGATTTACATCTTCAATACTTTTTTCTGTATACTTTATCTGAATGATTGTTTTAACAATCAATTGTATCTAGTCAAGGGGTAGACTAAAAATTGCTTTAATAGTAGTGGACACCTATCAACATGATTTTTAAACAATTTTAACATAATATTTTCTGCCCAAAATAGGCACAAAGAATCTTCAAATGTATAGTAACTTTTCACCTGGGATATAATACCCCCCCCCCCCCCCCTTAGATCTAAGACTATGGCTAACTAATTTGTGTAATCATATCTAAGAACAATCCAAAATATTTATTTAAAAACTACAGATAATAAGTTGTAATCTGAAAATTAGGATATTGCTATATTTGAGTGGTGTAGTTGATTGAAACTTCATTTGAATATTACTAATTCATACTTACAGCATTGGCTACCCTCAAGCCCCAGGCAGGCATCACAGCTGGTGCTTATGCTGCTCCAGCACCACAACCAGTAAGTTCTGCTAAAATGCAGACATTTCACATGTTTATCATATAAAGAATATGTGTATGAATTGCAGATACATGTAGATATGATTGGAGTTAGAGCTAAAATTATGTTTATTTGTGTAGACGTATGGTGCGGAAGCTGGACCAGAGTCGGCCATTCAACCCATGGAGGAGACCGGCATGAGTGATGAAGTTCTCCAAAAGGTAGACTTGGATGAATTTAGTTATGAATGTGTTAATAAAATATTTTATTTATTTATATACACTGAACATAATAATTTTTTATCCTGATTTTGATGATTGATGTTTTAATTTGTAGTTGCAAGACAAAGCCACACTTCTCACAGCAGAGAGGAAAAAGGTGGGAATATATTGTGATCTTTCAAGTTACACAAAGTGTATATCACAGAGAAATCACAAGAATGTGCAGAGAAGCAGATCTCTAGATTAACTTGTAATTTCAATCTTATTGTAGAGAGGTAAAACTGTACCAGAAGGGCTTGCAACAACAGAAGACATTAAATCTTTCAAACAGCTGGCATCTCATACTGTAAGTTGCACTATTTACTAGCCCTTACTCAATGATGGTGAAAATTCTGAAGGAGAAAATCAAGGAATTGAACACATTCTAGTAATTGTTGTGTTTTCTTTGCAAACAGGGACTGCACAGTGCCAGCGTTCCTGGAATTCTGGCTTTGGACATTTGTTTGAAGGACACCTCCAAAATTGTTACAGGTAAAGAATAAACATATTACATATAACTTGAATAGATATAAATTCAGGTTTAAACAAAATGCGGGGAAAACATTCTTTCATTAAAATGATTGGAAACAGATGTCTACAGGTGTTTTTTCTTTGTAGGTGGTAATGATAAAAATGCAGTGGTATTTAACAAGGACACAGAGCAGGTCATGGCCATTCTCAAAGGTCATACAAAGAAGGTCACAAGTGTTATTTATCATCCAGAAGATGTAAGTAATCAAATCTAGTGATACAAACATAGAATTATCCTGCTGGATAACTATTTCGATAATTATAGGTTAAGATTCAAGAATGATAACTAATTTATACTTGCATCTACACATAATAAAACTGTTTTAAATACATTTTATGGTTTTTGGAAACCCTCTTCATATGTTAAAGTGTTGCATATTATTTGAAAATATTTAGTTTGACTTCTGAGTTTCTGATTCTGTGACAAGCAATACCTGTACAGATATTTTGATACTGATTTATAGGAACTTGTCTTTACCGCCTCCCCTGATGCAACAATCCGTGTCTGGGGGGTAGAGACGGCCCAGTGTGGACAGGTGATCAGGGCCCATGACGCCCCTGTTACAGGAATCAGCCTACATGCTACAGGAGACTACCTTCTTAGTTCTTCCACAGACATGGTTAGTCACTTACATTGTATTACATATCTAATTAAAGTCCTTGAAAGCACATTTTAGTGGAGGATGAAAAAGTTTGTCTGTTCACAATTGTGTAGAGTCCATAGCTTTATGGAGAAACATCAGTGTATCAATTTGTAAGCTTGCTAATATTAACTTTAATTTACATGTATGTAGTTAATGCACTCCATTTCCAAGTTATAATCATTTTTGACAATGCTGTTTTGATAATTAGTAAACAAAAATACAGATATTTTAATTTTTAAATAGCATTGGGCCTTCTCGGACATAAGACAAGGACGAGTGTTAACCAAAGTTAGCGATCCATCATCTCAGCATGGTAGGTTTGATAATACATGTATGTATAAGCCTGGCTCTTTCCACTGGAAAGTAACAATTAAAAAATTCCCGAGTCATTATGGATGTCTTTCTTAACAAAATTAGAAATTATTTACACCTTGGTGTAAATGATGTTTGCAAGTAATTTTGTTTTTTCCAGCCCTCACATGTGCCCAGTTTCACCCTGATGGTCTTATTTTTGGAACTGGCACTGAGGACTCCATGATCAAGATTTGGGATTTGAAAGGAAGGCTAAATGTAGCTAACTTCCCAGGCCACCAAGGACCCATCACCAGCATCGCTTTCTCTGAAAATGGTTTGTTCTCAAAATATTCTCATAATGTTCACTTCAAAGAAAATAATGAGAGAAAAATTTTGGATGTAAAACTTCCAACTTTTATCTCAGTTTAGTGTAGCGGTTGTAATAAGATACATGTAACAGCTGTTGTACTCAGTACCATAAACTAAGTTACTGTATACAAGGAAATTTTCTCCCCAAATTTTATTTTCACCCCTTTTGTCTTTGTCGCAAGTGGACAGATTTAAAATGGGGCAGAGTCACAGAATAATCTCTTTCACCCAGGTGTGTTTGGGTGAATTTAAAACAGGGCAGTGAAGTTAATCTGATATTGTTTTTATGTTTTAGGTTACTACTTGGCTACCTCTGCTGAGGATTCAGTTGTCAAATTGTGGGATCTGAGGAAGTTGAAGAACTTTAAGACTCTTCAACTGACAGACAAATATGAGGTAGGGATAAATTCAAATACAAATCATAAATACCTTCAATATGTTTTAATACATTTAATTTTTTAAAATTGAATACCTATAAAAAGGCAGAAAATGTTGTCTTATAGCTTTCATATTGAGAGATGGGCATTTATTTTGCAAGCAATCCATTCCCTACTGTTTAAATTATAAATCCTTTGTTTTAGGTGAGGTCCCTTTCCTTTGACCAGAGTGGAACTTATTTGAGTGTGGCTGGATCAGATGTCAGGTATGGGCAGTTTATTTTTATGAGTACATTGGACATTTATATGTCAGTTGATATCACTTTTTTATCATATATCCATTATTGCTCTGATTTTTTTATACTATTGATTTCTCAGAGTGTTGTTTGATTTTTCTCAGTTCACTACTCTGGTTTTCTGAATCCATTTCATCACTCTTTAAGACTTGTGATGTTTTTCACAGAACTTAACATTTATATGTTAATTACTTGTACTATATTAATATTTAATTAGATTCATCCTTTATGGCTTTTAGGAAATGCCAGAGTGATAGTATTATAAATTAACATTAACAATTAGTTTACCACCACAACACAGATAAGAATGCATTGTGTACTAAAAGTTATGTCAACATTGAATGAATGAGTCACAATGAATTCAATGAAACATTCAGTCTCTCATGAAATTGCAAACTCAAGAAGAAAAAAACCCATTCAAGTACTATGTACATACACATAATTTCCATGTTTATGCAAATGCATATATTGACTTATATCCTTGTAATTTCCTTCAAAAATATTGGCGGGTACATGATAAATTTAGCATGACAGTAACTTGATCAGAAGAGTCGCAGCACTTGGACATTCCTCATCAGATCAAACTCTGATAGTCTCTCTCTGTTACCTCGACATGATCTAACTCGACTGATCTAGACACTTTTGTAATATAATATTGATATATTTCAATGGCTTTCAAAATCCTGAATCACCTTTCATTGAACATGAAAAGTTCATCAATATAAAAGGGTCATCAGATGTACTGTTATCTTTTTGTTGCATCAACATTACATGTACTTTAACACTGATAAATTTTTTCCTACTAAACAGGGTGTACCTCTGCAAGCAGTGGCAGGAGTTGATTTCCTTCAACGACCATACCGCCATGGCCACGGGAGTAAGATTTGGTCACAACGCCACATTTGTTGCATCAGCAAGCATGGATAGATCTGTCAAATTCTTTGGAATGTCATGAATGGAGGAAAAGTTTGTGGGAATTCATTCATGGTAGAATTAAGCTGAGACATTTTTATGATTTTGTATTAACCTTGTCCTTCATGTATGTATATGTGATGAGGCATTTGTACATTCTGTTTTTAATGTAGAGAATTAATCAATTTGATGGTATTGTAACTCAGTGATACGACCAGATTGCTGTTTCTTCATTAAAACAATAAAATATGTCGGAACAATTTTTTATATAATTGAATCAGTGTACATTTATCATGATCTTTGGAGTAATCTTTACTCACTAAATTTTAATTATATAGAGCTTTGCATTTGCTCATAGGTTTTCATATTTTTGAAAAAAAAGTTCTTTCATACCCACATTGAATTTGCCATTTCCTGTTCATGTCATTTTCCATTCATCATTTATTAAATCATTTAAATCATATCATTTTTAAAGTGGTTCACTTCCGTGTTTTAATATTAAAGATGGTTTTGTCTTGTTTAGTGTAAACAGCAAAATTGCAGGAAAACTTAAAGCTGTAACAGTGATTGTAGAAATTCATTTAAAAATCAGTTCAAATTAAAATGTGCTTTTTCTGGAAATAAAAATAGAACAGAACTGCTCTTAATTCTTTGTATTCTACATGACATGTATTTTTATGTAAGTCTATTTCTTGTAAACACACATGTACATGTACAGTTGAACTTCGATTTCTCCAACACAGATATCGAATACCATGGATATGTCGAAGTTATTTTGAAGTCCCAACTATATTTTCCTTATGTATTTTACCCTGGATATCTCGAATCCTCGGTTATCTCGAAGTATTTTCTTGGTCCCTTCAAGTTCGAGATAGCGAGGTTTGACTAATTAAAAATATCCTCGGTCTTGATTTTGGTGATGGCTCCTATGGCTGACCAACTGCTTACTTACAGTATTTCGTTCAACTAATATGTCATATTATGGAATTTGAAAAGATGATTATAAACATACTGTTTTGTAACAAGATCCAGAACTGGGCAATAGTGCTCACATCAGTTGCAATTCCATTTAAATGTTTTTAACAATTTTGTTGTACATTTACAAAATGTTCTTTAAAGTATACCAAAATAGTATTACGGCCCTTCATTGAATCCAAGAGCTTGATTATGGTACACTGACGAACCTACAGGTACCTACATTTGGGATACTTTGAAATATATCATATATTAGGAGGGAAAAAAACTTCTGATGAACAGTGATCATTTTCAAAATCCAATAAAACAATTCAAAAATGAAAGTACCGGTAGGACAAACAGAGAGACATGGAAACACTAGAGGTGGTTATCAGGTGTCTATATACTTGTATATTCCTTTGTAAAAATATCAACATTTACTGTGGCGAAATTTAAAGGCTTAAAGGAATAGATGAACTTGAATTTTCACATGTCAGATGGGGATACTTTCTTGTTTTGCACTTTTATAGAATATTTTTCTGTCAATTCTTACTTAAAACTCCAGGCCCCAATTGCTGAGAATTTATTTTTTTCCCTATCAAGTTCTATGTAAGACTGATACCCTGTTGTGGTCTTAATCAAGCCCAGACACCATGATCTGAACAAATTTCAATCTACACTACCTGGGAAACTTGTGACTTAATTTCTCTACCGTATTTGTCCTATTGTGCACCCCTCCCTCCATAAAGGCCCCCACAAATACATCATACCATTTGGGAAAAAAAAAATTAAAATTTTTTCCAGAAAAATTGGTACTGCATTAAATTTCATGATGCATGGTATCTCAAGTCGACCAACACTGGAATATTTGAAATAGCCCTATTTTCCATTTCATTTCAATGTCCCTCCTTGTTTTAATAAGAATGCAACAATTTTACTTGTATCTTACTCCCACACCGTCCTTTATAATTGCAGTCGAATGTCTGCCCGTAAGATTGTTGATCTGTCAGATTTAATACATATATGTAAGGGCATTTGCCAGTTTTAAAATGCATTTAAATTGTAAAAGTAGGTTTTGTAGTCTTACTCACAAACTAGATTGCCCTGCACAAGTTCTACAATTTAGCCTCTGGCGAGACTCGTATTATCCACAGCATTCTCAACTCCTTGGGGAGCATACAAGCAGAGCTGCCACAATTATGGTGCTAATGTATTTACATTCACACACTTTCATGTGTAAGGGAAAAATTTTAACCTCTGGGTTGAGAAGGTGCACCAGTAAAATAACTAGCCCAAATAAGAATACAGTTTTAACAACCGACCGAACTTGAACCCAGGGCCCTTGGGTCAGGAGCTGTCCATGCTAACCACTGTGCCATCACCCCATTGTAGATGGGAATGCTTTTATTAAATTATTTTTTTTAATTTTGTTATGCTTTACATGCTTTAGTAATATAATGTAAGTTTTATAACGGAGAGACTGTATAAGCACCTTCCAATTTTCTGAATGGCCAGGGTAAAGATAGGACAAACATGGCATTTGTGATAGCATTGTTTTGTCCCCCTTTCTTGCTGTGTAAAACATTAGCTTTGTTGATGCCATTTCATTTCCAAGACTAATTCATTGTTCTAAAACCAATTTACTCTTCAGTCATAATTTGAAGATTCTCTCTGGTTGCCGAATGAAAATTTAAAGAATTTTCCTTTTCTTAAAAAAATTTATTCAGTATATAATTGATCTACAATTTATTTCACTGTAAACTTAGACTAATTCAAAGTGATAAAAAAAAGTATACAGTAAATACTGATAAGAGTACTTGGTTTCTCATATTAAATTTTCAGGAGTGGTCAGAATGAACAACAAATGTTCAACTTACTGCCTTATATCAGAATTAAACATTATGCAACATAATAAACAAAATTACTACTGAAATCCCTCTGCCATTGCAATATCTAAAAGAATTTTATGTTCAAGTAAATTAACTCTATAATCTTATCACATTTTTGTCAAGTAAGCAGTGATAAAATAAAAAGTATGAAAAAATTAAGCACTACATTTAAATAAAATTATACATTTACAGTATATCAATTCAATAAAAAATTTATTATACCCTATGATATTTGATTTGTTCTGCTACTTTCCAAAACAATAATGAAGCAATAACTATTATCAAAATTAAATACTACATGTATTGTTTAGTTCCCCGGTACCTTTCTGGGAATCTGAAATTTTTTTGTCAATAATGGGAGGTTGAAAATTGGAATTACATGCACCTTTGCTGCCCCATTTCATTCTTATGCACTGGCAACTTTTATAGCCATGTGGGGCCTGTTCATGGCTTGAACTTGGAATATTTTTGTGAACTTGAGTTACTTTTTAATGAGGAAATCCATTTCTCTGATATTTTGAGTTACATCATACTGAAATAACTTACAAAACAATTTAATTATTTAAGGAATAACTGTCTAATTTTTTTTTTTTTGATGAGATAAAGCATATTGGCTCATGTGATAATTTGCATAAATGCCAAAGGTGTTTATGCATAAAATTATGACACAAGCAAATTGCTTGATCATCATCATAAAACCAAAAAAAAGGACAGTTATTCCTTATTTTTACATGCTCTTGATTCTGTTAATTCACGTGCTCCAGGCACCGCCTCCTCTCTCTGTCTCTATCTCCTGCCCCACTCGATTTTTTTTAACCACACCAATCAATGAACCAGCTTTATATAGAAATCAAGTATTTTTATTATTTGTAGTTTTATCTCGGACAAAGAAATATAAAAAATTTAAATATTAAAGTATAAAACATTGTGAAGTCTTTGTTTTTATAAAGAAGAAGAATCTGAAATATCTTCTCAGATGCATTCAGGTAAAACTTTGGACCCTGTTTAAAGCATGTACAATGTATAAACTATAACTGAAAAATATCACAACACATAATGAAGGTACAGTAGAAAGATTGGATCCTACTTAAATGACTAGTTGCTAAAGTAGGATTTGCTACATGGCATTCAATGACAGTCTCTTATTAAATACAACATCAAGACTCCTGGAAGTTATTCTTTCTGTATTGAGGATTTTTATCAAGGTAATCCTTCAGTTTGGTTGGGAAATCAGTCATTACTCCAGCAGCTCCAAGTCTGAAAGCTCTCTCAAATTCTTCTTCATCATTTAGGACCCAAAGATATGTCTGAATTAAATTTATGAAGCAATATACTTGTATAAACATGTGATGATCTGTGAACTATTTTTGTATCTTAATGACCTTATAATTATGTGACAAATAAAACGATTAACTGTTCCCCCTAAATTTCTATTGAGTTGGTTGATATAGGGGATGCTTACACCTCCTAGGCAACTAATCCCTCCCCTGGTGTTTCCTAGGGATTTAATTTTTTTGCCCCCTTCATGTTTTGTATTTTTTAGAGGATTAATGAGATTCATCACAGTTTATTATCTTCCAGTTTTTCATTTTTATAGCTTAAGTATTCTTTAGGATGAATAAGGTACTGACTGAACAACTTTATTTCAAATATTATATACCATGAAATAATTTATAGGTCTGCCATGGATTATGAGTGGAATGTATTTTCTGAACACTCACCTGAATACCTCTTCTCTCAAGATGATGAAACAGGGCTGGCCTCATAAGTAACCTACAGTAAAACATCTCAATGTCTTATTATTATTTATTAGCTTTCATATTTATTAGAACTACAAGTATTTCAATCAAAATACAAAACTTGTTATCTCAAGCTTGATGGAACCAAGAAAAAACTAAAAGATATCCAAGGGTTTGAGACATTGAGGGTAAAATACTTAAAAAGTCCTTGGGAATTCCAAATCTTTTCAACATATCCCATGGCATTCAAGATAACTGTGTTCAAGATACTGAAGGTCAGCTGTACAATATAAAAATCAGGGCCTCACATTTACACTTGTCCGATACCAATGAAAATTTTTTTTGTGGACTAGTGAATCTTGCTGGGCACTTGTCTAATTGCATGAGTGATTTTTCTGTACTAGATTTTTTTTAAAAAAATTGAAATTAAAAACTGATATCTTGTTATCAATTTTTTCTCTGAATTTCTAATCAAAACATGCAGTGTTTAAATAGTTAACTCATATCCCGCTCTTGTTATGAATTTTCATCCCAGCCATCAAACTCGATTAAGGTTCACTATAGAGGCATTACTATCGATTCTGAACTTCGAGTAGTGGCATGAATGCTGTCTAATCTGAGTGTGTGACAAAGTTTGGGGGTTTTTTGTATCGAATAAGAAAGCTAAAGCAAAGAAGGAAAGGACAATAAAAAGGGATTAGAAAACCGAAAAACATAAATATTTGTTGTTGCTGTTGAATGAATGAATATATCTTTCAAGCTGTCAATTAGTTATTTTCAGACAAGTAAAAATTATGTAAGGGTAAATTTCAGTCACTTGTCCGAAAGGAAAAATCATTAATGTTCATGTGCATGTACATGTCCACTCCTTGGTCAGATAGTGTTTATTACTCTTGCCATGAATGAAACAATTCCCAGGATAGTCATGTTTTCACAAAAAGGATCATAAATGTCGTAATAAACTTGTGTAAAATACTCACACATTTAACACTCTCAGAAGAAACCTTATTTTTGCTCCAATAAGAGGGATAACATCATCTCTAATAAATGAAAAACAAATTCTAGAACTGAACCATCAGAAAAAATACTGGTATGATACAATATAAAATAAATTATGGCTCAAAATGTTCACTTTCTGACAATTAAAATAGATATTGGTCACGACCAATGACAGAATGGAATTTAACGACAGGTACTCCACTTACTTTAATAAAATACTTGGCATTATAACTTCTAACAGTGAATCCCTCATTGGTACAAAGGGAAGTAATCCAGTATAGAAAAGAAAAAGCAATTTAAGAACTCCTCCAATTGGAAATAAAGTTGGAATGTTTGGATTCTAAAACAAGACAAAAACAATTTTAACTGTTAATGTTTCAAGTAATATAGCCCCTCTTACTGTGTATAGATAAAATATTTTAAGAAGTTTTAAAGACTGTGTATAGGAATTATATATATAGCAGACCAACATGTTCCTGACTTGATTATTTTTCAAAAATAGGATTGTGTTGTTCTCATAAATTATAATAAGGCAATAAAGATTTCGATTTGGTACTAAAGGTCCTGGTCCCAAAAATAGAATATATGTACCACAGTAAAACATTTGTCCACTACAGTTGAGCTTCTGTTTCCCCACACTGTTATGTGTTCTCTGTTATACTGCACAATCAAATTATTCACCTGAAATAAAAGTTGAAAAATATAGCCATATGATTTAAGATGATTTTCCTGAATAAATGTTGAGTATAAATTATATTTTTCTTTCTTATTCCTTCCATTCTACTGGGTACTCACAGTCAAATTGTCATCACAGATTTATTAAAAAGATTGATAAACAATTTTACATCAGTATTACAAAATTTTTATTCAATAAATTTACAAGGGGTAAAATTCAAATTCAAAATTCCTAATTTAACAAAAAAAGGAATTCATACAATAGGGAAGTTAAATATGTTTGATAACTATAACATAACGACCTCCTCAAATGTTTTATTAAATAAAAGTTCCTTTTGTTCCCTCATACCTTCTCTATAAGCTCATCATCATCTACTTTGATGTCTATGTTAATAGGTGTTTTGGGAAATTCTTTGAAAACATCCTCTAGTAATGGAAACTTCCTGTCTGTGCATCCAGTGCCATCATAAACAAAATCTATCGAATACCATAAATTACAAAGAATAAACATAAAATATGTATTAAAAACATAAATATGTATTTAAAAGTTATCAATACATATAAATAAACATGAGGAATGTGATATACTGAATATGATAAAATATTGTAATTTTCTTCATGAAATTTCTCTCTACATATATAAGAATTGTCCGCAGAAAAAAACCCAAAGTATACCTGATATTGATTTGATAATATACACTTACTTCGTTTAAAATCCAGAGGGTGACATTCTTTTAATAGAGGCAAATCCTGTTTATTAATTAAGAAAATAAATCATTTAATTAGGATACCATCAAGATATGGAAAAAGAAAAACATGTATACACATATTTACAGTGAAACCTTGTTATCTCAACTTCGATGGAACTGAGATTTAACTTTGAGATATAAGGAGATTTGAAATATCAAAGCTAAAAACATAAAGACTGCCATATCACTTTGACTTATTCCTGATATTTGAAATATCAATGTTCCAGATAATGAAGTTCAACTGTATTGAAGAAATATAATATTAAGAGGTAAATGTATTGCATATCATGTTGTTACTGAAATACATGCACTTGTATGTTAACATGCACATGCACTGATATATTTACAGAAAATAATCCTCTTTCCTACTATTGTAAATCAATGACTTGTCATGATTTTGCAGCTGAAAAATTTGAATATATTAATTTTGAATTCTATTCCATACTTCATAATTATAATCTGCAATGACACCTTCCGCATCACACACACGTTTTAACGAGCTGTCATGGGACACGATTACTTTGCCATCTTTAGTGATGTGGCAGTCAATCTCCAACATATCGGTTCCTACTGACAGGGCACTACAATATAAAATTCAAAGTAAGCATTAAGTAAACATTTGTGAATACAAAATATGTGTTAATTGTATTCCAGAATTATTTAATTAAAATATTTGATTGATGTTCAAAAAGGCATACTGGAAAGAAGTACATGTATTTTAATTTACTCAGTTTCTTAAAAAAAAAATACAAATTCATCTTAATTCTTTTGCTTTTTCACTTGCAACATATCATTATTTTTAGAATTGCAGCACTCTACATTAATTTACATCTTATGAAATCTATAATTATCATACTGTCTAAAAGCAGTCATTGTATTTTCAATATTTTCCCCTGCACCTACAATAGAAAACAAACATTGAATAAATGCAAAATTATGTGATGTACATGTATACTTTTATTCTAGACTATATTGTAAATGTTAATGAAAGCTTATCTTTTAATTGAAATGGAATTAATTTTTCATTGTGGTTTTTAACTTCATACACCAAATTGATTTCATATCTAATTTATGTATATACAAGGTTAAATATTTTCATTTAGTAAATACTGCAATCAGGTACTGTACAGCAGGAAATTAATTAGCTGGAGTTAATATTAGCTATATTCGTGGAAAAATAAATTCTGCGAATTCATCAACATACAGTGAATAATACTTTAAAAATTGATAAGGATAAATTGAAACATTACTGTTATCTGTGATTAGATTCATTTACTCTATTTGTGTTTCCTTGCAAACATAAAAACAGTAATTAATATAGCGGAGATGTAGACTGTCTTCCTATTTATGAGAGTGTACATCAATCACTAACACATTTAATTCTGCCACCCAGTAGAGGTGCGATGTAATTACCTATAAAACATGTATTGTTAAATTTCATCCATGTGTATCATATCACTTAGTCATTACCTTTAATTGAGGCACTTACATAATAAACATGGTAAAGAAAATACTATTACACATCAATTCAATTATATTTTAAAACAGTTCAACATTTTGACTACGATGCTGACAACTTTTACTGATTTAGATTTGGGTGGATTTAAAAATACTGCAGTAAATACTACTCTGTACTCTACTCTAAACATACCTATAAACGAATACTTGTTTTTTTTACATGTTGGATGGGACTTAAAAACATTTGAATAAATGATTATATCACTTAAGTATATACTCATATGTATTTCAAAAACATTTTTTAAAAAGAAAAAAAAAAAACAACAGAAGGAAAGAAAATGAAAACTTATCTGAATGCATATAACAATGTAAATCGAACAATGTTTTGACTTCAAATAGGGATCAGTCCGGTGTTTCATTATTAATATTTAATTTGGTTCAGAATCGACACAATACCCAAAGAAAATACTTGAAGTGCTGAAAAAAGGTTTTGTATAATTTTTCCTTTCCGTGAATTTAAACAACTGCAAATTGAAGAAATTGCAATCTTTTCCAACCACGATTATATATATCCTGCTGTACAGTAGTATTGATAACAAGTAAGCAATATAAATTGATATACATGGGCTATGGGAACCAGGAGGGGGGATGCCCCTACATAATTTTGCTTGTCTAAATTATATAGAAAACAAAGTGACTATATGCATGTGCCCCCCTAAAAATTACGTCTGATGACCTGTTTTTTTCCTCGTCAAGGAATTTTTGTTTGGTAGTACCCCCCACCCCCAACACACACACACACACACTGAAGATGTTTGGTTGTGCCCCTTCCCCCATCCCAAATGAAACTGCTTCCTACGGGCCTGATATGAATCATTCATGTTTACGGTATTCTGTGAAGCAACAGGCTTATTGTACGAAATATCAGGGCAAATACTGGGACATGGAAAATGACATGGACAATGAGGTGTTTATATACTGAAATACTCTGTAATAATGTAGAAATAAAATGCATAATTCTGAGCTAGCTTGGCTGAAACACAAATAGAATCTGATGTCTTTGATTGTTTAAACACAAGCACTGACGTATTTCATACCTCCTCTGTGACTAATATGTGCTGGTCGAAAACATAGCTTCTTTTTCTTGTGAAAGATTGCAGGGAACCGAAAAAGTATCACTGAAGTCACCACATAACCAACAAAGATTGATCCAACAACCATGGCAACGATATATCGAGTTTCCATTCAGAAATACAATTTTTTCAGCAACCAATAGTCATGATGATTTGTCTGTATGAAGTGTAAACATAGGAGACACATGACATGGTACTTTTCCTACCTTATTTTCTCGAAGAGTTCATATTAATCAGAATTCCACACCCGATATAAAAAAGAACGACGACCCTTCGACTGAAGGGGATGGTGGGTAACGGATTTTGGGAATAAATAATCTGTCCTTGAAAATGTTGAAAACAGTTAATCTGTCCTCCACTGGGAAGAAAAATATTCGGACCTTGACAATAGGCGCTTGGGTCAAGGATAATATGTTTTACGGTGTGACCGTTGGGGCGAGCGCAGTTATACCATCAAAAAGCTATAGCAGCTTACACTTGTAACATTGATCCGCCTCTTCAAACGTCAAACCGCACGAGACACAGGCTAGACTGTGACGTCACATGACGTCGGAATTTACGGAGAGATCCGAGCGTCTGGTTGAACGAGACTAAAGATCTTGTGCAATAATAAATGAAATACGTTGTAGAGTAGATGTAATTATTTTTTGTTTCTTTTAAGCTCTCTGCAAAGAAAGAAAAGTATACGTAAACGTATCTCTCGGTAATGAATAATTATCCTTGGTCTTTTGTATGTTTTGTAAGAATTTCGCATGGAACCCTGGTAGCGGAGGAATTCTGGGAATGTTGCACCAGAAAATTTGCCTGACGTATGTACAGATTTCATTCCGAATTTCCTCTGTTTTTACACGTTAGTCTATTGAGCTCGCTTCGCGCTGCTCGCTGCGCTCGCTATTAAAAAACACTTTGAAAAGCATGTTCAGGTACATATTCAACTGTTCAAGGTTGTTCAAATTAATACCCTGGGGAGGGTGGGGGTGGTAGGAGATGAACATGAAAGGTTATGGAAATGTATAGGGGGAAAATCTTTATTTCAAGAACAGCAAGGTCATGATCAGTCATATATCAAAATATGCAAGCGTCCTAGGGATAGGTAGTACAGCGTTACATATTTACATTCTGCCTGTATTTTGCTTATAAAGTGTGTGGTAAGCTACGGCATTCAAAACACTTTAACACGGACAGTAGGTCAAAAAGTTAAGGTGAAAATGGAGATAACGAACAGTATTCAAGCTCACAGTCCATTTAAACAATACAAATTGGGAGCAGAACAAACACAGTCCTCCAAAAAACATTAAAGGCGGGATCAGGTGCCATGGAGGAGTAAGCATCCCCTGTCGACCGGTCACACCCGCTGTGTGCTCCTTGTTATGATCAGGTAAACTTGTTATTTAAATGCTTTTCTTTCCACTAATTTAAAGAAAAATTATAAACCACACGAATTTTAAGCATTTATATTGTCATTTACTCAGACTGTATTAATTTGATATAAGACTAAGAGAAGAGAGTAACTTCCCAGGGTGCATTAACCAAAGTTCCTTTTATTTTTTGATATCAGAAAATAAATTTTTGTTATTAAATTTTAAAGCGTTTCCGATTTTTAAAGATTTGGATTTTTGATACCTGGAAAAAAATCGATATCAGTTACATTGTATTTTACTTTATATCTAGAATCTAACCTCTGATATATAAAATTGATTTGTCGATACTAAAATATCATTTCTGATATCAGAATATCATATTTTTTTTTAAACCCGAAATGCATTTTTTGACATCTAAAATTCAAATTCCTGATACCAAGAATTTTTAAAATATATTGTTTGATATAAAGAAAGCACTTTCAAAAATGTCGCCAGCCTACCCAACCCCCAGTAATACAATCGAATATTATAGTATAATATTTCGCTAGCTTTTGCAAATTAGCAATTCACATTTATATAATTGCACTCTCAGCAACATGCACTAAGAAATTGCCTTTGACAATTAGTATGTACCTGGAATTTTTAAGCTAAAATATAGGGACTTTTACCTGTTTTTCGTTAGTATCTTAATCCTCTTTACCTGTTTTTCATAAATATCTACCGGAATGTCCCTTTCTTTACCCAGCTACAAAATTACCGCACACGTTCTAATAGTTTTACTTTTAATCATCCTTTTTATTTAAATAAATACAACCTTCATTTTGGACTAAAGTTTGTATCCTGAAAAAGAAGTATTTTTCTTCATCAAATATCCAGGTCCATTGTGAACAACAATCTGTACTTTGTCTCCTTTCTTAAGTTTCAACACGACCATCTTACTGCAAGTTATCCATTTATTTCCACCATAGTGACAATTTGTCCACGCTTTTCCAATACCATTAACACGTAATGCTGTGTATGCATGTTTTGCACCCAGGGCAGCAGCTGTCCAATCAAAAACGTAGATCCCTGGCGTCGGAGCCGTGAAAATGCCGGATTTTGCGTCATATCCGTTTCCTTCGTTCAAATCAACAGTCTCAAAAACTATCTTAGCATTGTTTCCAAGATTTCCAATATCACTTTTCAGTTGGACATTAAAAGCAACAATTTTATTATCTGTAAAGCAAAATACAATTGTTATTTTGTGTGACCATCAAACCCTAATGATATTTGTATGTTGCCATAAATTTAGCGGTTCAAATTTGAAGTGAAAAAATTTGAATCTACATTAATTAAAATTTGAATCTACACTACACTACTACACTACTTGAAGATGCTTCCATATAAATACGACTAATCAAGGCTTTGTTTTTTCTTGAGAGAAGATTTTAAAAGATATTTCCTAATGATTTCATATTTTAAAAACCCCCGGGGACTACGATTTGAACAAATTTGAATCTATGCTGCCCGAGAATATGCTGCCATATTAAAATTTATTATACCTCATTATAATTATTCTATACCACGTGTTATCTGATTGGTTCTAGATTATCACGTGACAGGGCCATAAAACTTCATATTTCCCTGTCGTCGTCATGCTCTTCATCATATTCAACCTCTTCGGAGACCTGGTGTATTTCTCCGCAATAGTTATCGTTTGTTGAAATATTACTGTTATTCCCTCGGGGAATATGATTTTTCTTGGCTGAATTAATCTTCATATTTCCCTCACGATCATGCAATAAATGTATAATGACCAATAATGGCTTTACTGTTCTTGAGAAGATTTTAAAAGATTTTTCCTATGTATTCCTTTGTGAAACTTAAATCGCCTAATGTGACCCCGCCCTAGCCGCGGGGGTCGTGAATTTGATAAAGTTAAATCTACTCAATGGTTATTGAAAAGAAGATTTTTTTTTTAAAAAAGCTGCCCCTCATTCTTAAATTCCCTTCAACCAGAGATGCTTTAATTGTGGTAAATCTGGTTGACATTGACCAAGTGGTTCTTGATAAAAAGTTGAAAATGTGAAAAGTTTACAGATGGACGCCGGACACCCTTCGATCAGAAAAGCTCACTTAAGCCTTCGGCTCAGATGAGCTATACAGGAATCCAATATTAGAGCTGATTGCATATATGCATAGGGATTTCACTGTTTGTGACGTTCTGATGCTTCGCTTGTCGAGAAGTTTAAATACTACGTCACATTGTCACCACATCAAAGGAAGTAACCGAGATTGCTTCTCTCCCACGCTAAAGTCGGTCAACGTAATACACATCGCGAGGTTTAACGGGTTCATAAAAGGGGACAGATAATCCAGCTGTCCTTTTATCGAATATTTCCTGCACAATTAGTATCTTAAATAATGAAATAGAGTACTTATAGGTAATTATTTAATTCTATAGCAAAGCACTTTTTCAATCTGTCATATGAAAAGTAGTGCATGATTCATTGATTAATGGATTTTTACGTATCAATCCGGGTTATTCTTTGATTGTAGCATTTTATCCCAAATCGCTGCTGTAAAATAGAGTTAAATAAGTTTTGAGAGAGATATTCAAGAAGAGATGGAGTTATGGAGTTAATGTAATACAAGACCGTAGGAAACAAGTACAGAGGAGGGGAGACTAATACGTAACAACGAACAGAAATTCATTGACAAGCATAAAAAGTCACTACACCTCAGTATTTTTTAGGGACGCAACCCTAAATTAGCTTTGTTTTCTATTTATATAATATTTTATCAAAATTATCTGTTCCTGTAGTACGGGGCTGTCTTTATATTGTACAAGGCTTAAAGAAGTTTTCTTTTTCGTATTTTTTCATAAACAAAACAATTAACTGGGCGTGCTTGATTTAGCATATATCTAATGTACACGTACTGTAAGAATGCATAGAATAACGAACATTTCTGCCGAGAAGGGAAATTGTATTTATAATTGTCAATATTTATGTCAAAATGCTAAAAAAAAACACAAACAAACAAACAAAAACAAAAACAAACAAACAAACAAAACATAACAAATCATGAACATGTCCATATCTTTCCTTACAAACGCGTGCATTATAGTTTCTTTCTCTTTTTTTTTTACGTTTAACGAAATGTTTCAGTATTTCAGTCTATTATCATATATAAAGTGTATCTGATCTGGGATTTTCTGAGATTTATTTTTGATAGGGAACATTTTGACAGGATTCTATGTCCCATGGTCCGCATATCATACTGACACAAATCAAAAATAAATTCTTTGGGGGAGATCTTTTTAGAAAAAAAAATTGGCGCTTCATTTTTTTTTAACATTACATAAATTTCAATTCAATTAATTAGTAGGAAAAGTTTTAACCAATTATCCTTGCTCTTTCATGGCAGACAGATGAATTTTTTGTTGGGGGGGGGGGGTATTATTATTATTATTATTTTTGGCTTGACGTAAAAAATGGTACACCAAAACATAATGTCGCATTCCTATATAAACATGAGAATGCAAAAAGTACACGTATAATCATACAAGAGCACAATCCGATTTAACATGAATTTGCAAGCACCCCCCGGGGGGGGGGGGGTTACTTCAGAAAATGCTTTAGATACAGCCACTTTCAGACTTTTCTCCATTGGCGCCATATATCTGTCACTTTTTAGTGAAGTTTTTAACCTTCCTGAAGCACTGTTCGGCGGGGTTCATGTCAGGAGTTAGAAAGAAAACAGGTGCGATTTCAGCACCTGCGGGACAAAATCATCACATTTAAATACATCTATTTTAATGACTATGCGATGCATTTTTTTCTTAATGCGTGCTTTCGTACTTTTAA